CTGACCTGACATGGTTTTCAACCACAATCAGTCAACCGTGTGAGAGCCCAATGCCTTAACCACCACACCACCTGCTGGCCCTTAATGAGTATTTTATTCACAGTTGTTGGGAAGCTTCATTTATACATTTACTGAATAAATATTAAATATCTCTGTATTGACTGATATGCATGGTATTCCTTCTGGTAAAAGAAATGTAATATACTGCAAAGTTATATGTGATTCAATGTAATATAAACAAGATTATGGTAATAAATAAATAAATGAAAATATATTAAATGTCTACCAATTCTAAGTATTCTACTAGATGTTGAGGAAAATATGAGAAATAATCTTCTGGGGAGAACAGATAATATATATTCAGTACATGATTACAGAAATAATTAATAACTATTACAAGTATAAATTTAAACTACAAAGAGTTAAGACATATGATAGAAGGACCTTTATTATCTGGGGAGTACAGGAAAAAGCCTCCCTAAGTCAAGAAAGTGACCAGAGAATTAGTTAAAAATTAAGAGATGTGTTGGAGTAGCCTGAGTACAAACTCCATGAGGCAGGAGGAAAGGGAGACTGTTGGGTTTTTTTTGTTTGTTCTGATTTTTTGTGTTTTTTTTTTTTTTCAAAGACCTACCTAAGAGAATTTTTAAAATTTTGGATTGTAGTATTAATATTAGGAACTGAGCCTAGGGTATAATCAGAAATCTGAGTATGCAGTCTTTCAGGCCATGTTAAATGACAGTAGAAAGCCATAAAGAATCGAAACAGAAGATTGAGGATAATTAAAATCTTATTGAAAAAATATTATCCTAGGATAATGAATAAGAAAGAGTTAAGCATAGTGGGAAGACGAGCTTTTGGGGGAAAAATTATTGTGATCTCTAGAGAGATTCAAGGATATGCTATGGGAATGAGCAAATGAGGAGAGACTCTTTGGGGGATAAAGAAATTAAGAATATGAAAAGTAAGCTTGTTCAATGGGTCATCCACATGAATGTTGATGTCTCCCACCCAGGAACATAGGTGCCTAAAGAATAGACAAGATTTGACATGTCATCATTATAGAAAGAGAGCAATGCTGAGAGCTACCTGGGATTGGTAGAAGATGATATATATGAGCAACATGAAGCTCAAAGAAGCACCAGTCTGTGCTAGGTTGTTTCACTCTTTTGACTAACAAGGTGGGGGGTGGGTGGAAAACAAAATTTTGGCTTCCATTAAAGGAAAGAATTAAAGATTGTACTTGGAAATATGTTCACTAAATTCACTAGCAAGCCAGAGATAGAAGAGGTGTGAGAAAACAAATGGTCTCCATTTAGTAGAAACTAAATTTTAATCAGACATAAAATGAGAATAATAGTAGCATGTGCTTTATTTGTTGCATAAGCATTAAATGAATGTATGCACACAGTTTTTACCTCAGGGTACCATGGAAAAAGAGCTGAACTCACAGATGCTGTTCTTATTATCAAGAATTTTCACTAATACAGCATATCCCAAGTGAGATCATTCATCTTTTTTTAAAATTTTTATTCTCAGCCATTTATTGGAAGAAGATACCTAAATACATACACTTTTCTTATTCCAGTCAGGGGAAGATACCAGAGGAGTGTCATGGGATGCTAGACATTAAGAGGAAAATATAATGATTGCTCACTTGATTGGAAGATAACTGATATGCTGGGAATATTGAGGATATTCAGCTTTCCCAACACCATTTATCAAAGAGATGGTTCTTTTCCTGTTATATATTCTTGGCACCTTTGTCAAAAATAAATTATATGCATGGGTTTCTTTCTTAGCTTTCTATTCTGTCTGTTGGTCAATATGTCTATTTTTTATTCCACTAAATTTGTAGTTTACTTTGGGTAGCATGGATATGTTACCATATATCCATTCTTTCAATTTATGAACACGAGATTTTTTTTCCTATTTATTTGTGTCTCCTTCAGTTTCTTTCATTAATCTTTTGTCATTTTCAGTGTATAAGTTCTTCACCTTCTTGGATAGATTTGTTCCTAAATATTTTATTTATCTATTTATTAATTCATCCATTTAGTGTACCTATTGTAAGTGAGATTGTTCTTTTGATTTCTTCTTGGGGCATTTGTTAGTGTAAAGAAACATGACCGATTTCAAATGTTAATTTTATATGCTGTATCTCTACTGACTACTGAATTCATTTATCAGTCCTAACAGTTTTTGGGTTTTTTTCAGTGGACTCTTTAGGGTTTTCTACATATAAGATCATGTCTTTGGCACGCAGGGGCAGTTTCACTTCTTCTATATGCATGCCTCTAAAAGGCATGCCTTTAACAGGATCAGAGAGTATGGCAGACAGCAGCAGCTACTTATTAGAAAGACTGGAGGCAGATTTCCCCTGGGATTAGCTCTAAAGTTTAGATCTAATCCTCCACCAACCCACTCACCAACTGAGAACTATACTCATCTAAATCCTGGTCATCTATTGTATCCCTTTGACTAACTTAACCCATGGCCCTCTCTTGCCCCTCTCCCTCCTAATGATTGTTAGTCCATTATGACTTGGATCCAAACTCTACCACAGCACTGTCACACTGTATTATAATGTCTACATTTTCAGTACTAGTTCAGTGGTACAGCAGTAAGCACTGTCCAAGTGACACTTGATCCACCTGGATGGGCATACGTTTGGTGTCATGTTGGCACACATACACACGCATGATCCTGGTTGGCTGGAAAGGCTGTAGGGGAAATTGCAGCACGAGATCCTTTTGTGGGTGCCAGTCTCTCTTTCTCTCTCTATCTCTTCTCACTCTCATGAAAGAAATAAGTAAACTTGGGACCAGCAGTTAGCGTAATGGCTATGTCACTGGACTCCCACGTAGTCGACCGCAGTTCAAGTCCTGGACCCGACCGCTTAAACTCATGCTGGGTGCGTGTGTGTGTGTGCCCAAGATCACAAGAGGAGAATGGAGGAGAAGGGATTGTGGCATGACCATCCCCCCTGGGGGGTGATTTCTCACTTTCTGTCTCTCTGTCTCTCTCTGTCTTTCTGGCGAGCACATGCGCCCTATAGCAAAAACCTCTTCAAAAAAAAAAAAAAAACTGAAACAAGTAAACTTAAAAGCAAATAATTTCTGTATTTTCAATTTTATCTCAGAATCACACTTAAAGCCTGGTAAATACTCAAGATATGGGAGGAAATAATAAAGGAAAGAAGAGGCACAAAAAAGGAAAAAGGAAAATGAACGTCGTTCTTCTTGTTCGTTATGCAGTTATGCACAGCAGTGAGTCTGTCATAACAATAACTTGTCTACGCAGTGCTGAGAATATTGTGAAAAGACTAAGTGGAGGTAATATTAGTCATAAGGATGGTAATAAAGACAGTAGTATTAATACTAATTGTGATGACAATGGTTTATTTCTTTTCTTCTGTAAAAGATATTGAAAGCTATGGTTATGAAGATTTGTGTATTCATTTATTCAAAATGTATACTATGCCAGTGTGACTGATGATGAAATGTACTTGTAGCAACACAGTCCATTAAAATAATGAGACTTATTTACTGAGCACATATTTATTGAGAGCATATTATATGCCAGAAACTACCCTAATACAATACAAATCACCATCTAGTGGGAATGGGGAACTGAGGTAACTCATCCAACCCAAACACGTACTCACATATAAAATTATAAATTATTATGGGTAATGAAAGAAACATACACTGTGTTCTGAAACCAGAAGACAAGTTACTTCTAGCTGGAAAAATCTTCTCCAGGGAGGTAAGTTTTGAACAGAGGTTCAAGGTAAGTGGAAATGGAGAGGATAAGGACAGAGAGATGCATTCTCATTAAAAGGATGCTGTACAACCCTTTCTGGAGGTATCATGCATATCTTAGGAATTACAGAAGGGCACTTACTATATTAGGAATAAGTAACACTCAAACAACACTACTTTTACTTCAAGGATGTGTAAAAACATACCACAAACAAGTTAAAGTGAGTGAGGAACCTGGAAAAGAGTGAGCAAGAGAATTAGGATGAGACATAGAAGATAAATAGAGCAAGTATTGGGACAGTAATTATTGCATGTAGTGAACTCAGGAATATGACTAACTTGAGTCTGCATATGAGACTAAAAATGAAGAATTATGATTATTCTCAGAAGTTGTATTAGGTCACCTGAAAAGTAATGATGGTTTTTTTTATGTTTTTCTTTTTTTCAGAATTTTTTTTTTACTTTTTAAATTATATATATATATATATATACATACACACACACACACATTCAATCACATTGTTTTATGTTTTTCTATGCAATAATGCATTATGACTTTTTCAACAACCTAATATATTACTATAGGAATTCTAGAGAGACTTTCATCTCAAAAATATATACTGAAAAGTACATAGGCAAGAAAAAAAAAAGTTGTAGCTGCAATTCTGTAAGTCAAATGGAACATGAATATGTTAAAGAGTTAGAGTTTGTCATAAACTTGAACTCTGAATAACCTTCATCATTTTCACCTCTATTTCTCTTAAGCCAAAGTTTCTCTGCTAGAGAGAGCTTATCTCCTCCCATGGACTGGTTGTGTGTGAGGGCAACAGGGATGGCAGGTGCCTCATTTTCTCATGTGTCCTAAATAGGCACTCAGTTTATTGCTGCCTTAACTCCCAACTCACTTGAACCCAGGTTCATCAATGTCCTAATTGTCCTTCAATTACTCAGTGAATTTTTATTGTTAACACAATGAACTATAAACTTTTAGAAGGAAAAAATTTCCCAGAAAGTAATTGCTGACTGATCAGTTAAGATACCCTAGTCCTTAGTCTTCCATACTGATATCTTAACACCATAGTCCTCAGAAGAGATTTCTCATCTTCCAAACACCCAGGATAACTTCAGTTTCTTTCTGTTCACTGTTTCTACCAGGTAAATGATCTGGGCCGGGGGGGTTTATACCCCATAGAAGAGGGTCACCCTGACCCCTGAGGTTCAGCCAACAAGAACTACTCAAGTAGACTCAATCCGCTTTAAGCTCAAAATTGTGAACAGTCTCTCCCGGATCTGCTTGGTCTTGACCCCATAGACAATGGGGTCCAGGGCAGGGGGAAAGAGCAAGTAAAGGTTGGCAAGGATGACCTTGGCAGCAGAGGCTGTGGGTGGCCCAAAGCGCTGCATGACCACAGAAAGAAAGCCTGGTCCATAGAAGAAGAGGATGACACAGACATGGGCCGTACACGTGCTGCCTGCTTTAGCACGTGCCTCCAGTGAAGGAAAATGCATCACAGTCCTCACAATCTGCCCATAGGAGTACGCAATAAAAGCCACATCCCCCACTCCAAGGAAGATTGCCACAGCAAAAGCATAGAGGTTGTCCACTGTGATGGCCCCACAGGCCAGCTTCACCACTGCCATGTGCTCACAGTAGGTATAGGCAATTGTGTGTGAGCCACAGTAGGACAGCCGATGGGCCAGGCTTGGAAAGGAGATGGTCAACCCAATGCCTCGGAGCAACACCAGCCCTCCAATCTTGATGACAACGACCGGGGTTAGGATGGTTGCATAATGCAATGGTTTACAGATGGCCACAAAACGGTCCAGAGCCATGGCCACCAGCACCCCTGACTCCATGGCAGAGAATGCGTGGATGAAGAACATCTGGGAGAGACAGGAGTAAGAGCTGATGGCTGTAGCCCCAAACCAGAAAATAGCCAGCATCTTGGGCAGAGTGGATAAGGAGAGGACCAGGTCGACAAAGGAGAGCATGGCAAGAAAGAAAAACATAGGCTGGTGAAGGCTACGTTCTGTCCAGATAAGAAAAAGAAGGACACCGTTTCCAGTCAGTGCTAGGAAAAACATGAAGCAAAAGGGAACTGAGATCCACATATGGGCCGCAGTTAGTCCTGGAATGCCAGCCAGAAAGAAAGTGTGTGGGAAGAGACAAGAATTATTGGAAAGAATTATAGTCATCATCTCGCATGGAGTAACAAAGGGCCACTGCAAAGAAAGTCAAGCAAATAATAGTTAATGACATGGGGATTGGAAGATCAGGACTGGAAGATCTTCTGTACTAGATCTTTAACTACAGAGGAGACAAGTCATGGGGAAATGCACTGGACAAGAAGTTCAGAAGCCAGGTCCCAGAACTAGATATCCTACAGTGTGTGTGACCTGGGGCAATTCACATAACCAAGTTAAATGGATGCCCAGGAATAGTTGTTGAATAAAATTGTTCCCATCATCAATTTTATATTCCTGAATTCTAAATGCTAAATGCTGAAAGCTAAATTCTAAATGCTAATGATCTAATCATCGCTAATTTCAGATAATCTAGCTTTAACCCACTAACCTGCATCTGAAACTCCCAAAAGTTCTAGCATCTGGAAGAGCTCTTAATTTAAAGACATTTGACTCTTCTAATCCACTTAGCTGACAAGGTTACAGAATTTTAAAAATGGTCCCTATTGACTCCAGCATGGACAGACTCTTCTTTAGAATATCCCCATCTATTTCACTCACTTCTCTACCCAGTATCTCTTTACCACCTCCCGTATCTCTTTCTTTTCCAAGGTGGTAGTGTACAGGATAGATGCAAAATGCAGAGTTCTGGTGACCTGGTGTAAACAGAAGCTCGGTAAATAACAATAATGCAAATCCCATTGAATTTTATAGCACAGCCATCTTACTGAGACCAACAGACAAAAGGAGCAGATGTGTCCTCCAGCTCCTTTTAGCAGTTTTCACAATAGGAGTGTGCAACATTACTTGCATCCCCAACATGTACCCTGTCTAATACCATAATTTTATACCAAAAAATTGTCAATACCAGAAATACTATTATTATTTTCATGAAACTATATCATGAAACTATAAGTAATAAATAGTGCATTGGGAAAGGTCTGGTTGATAGCAATAGAAACTTGCCAAATTAAGAGGTAATGTAATTGATTTGGCAAAGAAGAGAGCTTGTTCTCATGGATTCATAGACATGTAGTAAACTGGAGTGACTGTTAAAAACACTATATCCTTCCCCACATAGCACCATTCCTTTCCCCTAATAATGCATTGTTTTCCTCTGCACCCCCAAAGACTGGGTCTGATTACCAAGAATTTGCTTCAAATTATCCTCAAAATTGCCTGTCCTTACGCCTTTGTCTTCCAAGTACTGTAAGGAATAATTACACCTCATGTCCCAGCTATCCCCTCAGGACCCAGACATGTCCCTTATTATATCATTGTGCCTCAAGGAAAAGTCTGACCCAATAAGCTCAGATCTCTACCATCATCAGAGAAGCAAAAAAGGGAGGTAATGTGTCCACAAATCAAGGACTCAGGATTTAGGTGCCTTGATAATGTTCCTGTGTAACTCACCCTGTGGACTTCAAAGAGGGGCAGACTTCCAAGTAACCTACTGCTTAACCCAGGACTCAAGAATCTTTCCTTGCCTTACAGAGAGGAATTCTCACATACCCAGTTCCTCCCTTGGCTGTTCCATACAACACCAAAAGTCCAAAATGGCTTCTGACAATGTTTACAGAATTTCTTGTGTTTGTAATCTTCTCTAGTAATGTCAAAAGGATACAATTTTACCCCAATCAGATTGTCCAAATCTGGTAAGGTTGGAGGTAAGTTAGTACATGGATATAGCCTGTATATATCTCCCTTTCTTGGGCTTACCCTTAACCATTACTCACCAAAGAGCTGCATTGACTGACCTACAAGGAGAAGTGACATTAAGCTACCAGTAAGGTGTAAGAATGGATTATTTAATGGGCACCTTTTCAAGCTTTGTCTGTAGGGATCCAAGGTGAAGCTCCTAACACCTAGACACCAATTAGTACTTCTCCCTTCTCTTCAAAGTTCTAACAAGGCCTCTTCTTGTTATTGGGGCCCTAGAGAACAACCCCAGCAGGGAATATTTTGAACAGCATACTCCAGGGCACCTGGCCAAGAAGGGGCCAAAGTTCTGCAACCAGGAGCAAGGAAAGTCTTTCTTCCATGAGGATTGGAACCACCAGGCTTGACAGACCTGAAAGACCTGATCTAGAAAGAGTGAAGAAAACGGAGGAAGCTGGGGAAGGGCATCCATTGGATCAGTACAGAACATTGCCTAAAAGACTCCCAGTGAGACATATGAAACTATGAAAGGAATAATGAATTAATATCTGGGAGACTTCTTGAGAAGTGTAAAGCTTTCCAGAAAATAAGCCTAGAGGAAAAAGGTAAATGTTTCCTGTGCCTGGACTTTAAATGGTAGGTACAAAGGTAGGCCAAATCCCATAGGTATTATTAGCCATATGTTATCTGACCTTGGTGAAAGTACTCAACAACTCTGGTCCTTATTAGCTACTCTCCCTACATTTGATTCTATTCTTAGCCACCAAAATCACTCCTGAAAATAGTGCCTGTTCAATCGGTGAAAAGGTACCTAAGATTATGAAGGATTTGAACATTATACTGCATAGAAAGATTCAAAGAACTGAGTATGTCCAGCTTATATAGGAGGACTTATGGTGTATGCATGATTCTTCACAAATTCTTCTAATTCAGGAAGAAATTCCTGGTACCAAAATACTTTTTCTATAAAGCCTAAAAAAAAGAGCAAAAATAAACACGTACAAATTTATAGTTCAAGACTCAGTCAGAGCCAAGTGTCATCAAAATAATAATCTCTTACCAAAAAGACAGAAATCAACACAGGTTGGAAGAGAGAACAACACAGGGTTGATGGAGAAAGGTCAGTGCCCAGAATCAAGTACTGCTCTGTACTTGATGTATGTACTCAAGTAAAATAATTTAGGGCAGTCATGTCCTGAGGGTACTGACCCAGACCCACAGGGAGTAAGAGGATATAGAAGGTGTCATTTAAGAAAGAGGCAAGATTATGAACTCTAACATGAAATATCCAGTTTCCTAACAATGAAGCCATGCTTGGTAGCAGCAAATTTAGGGCAGATGATGTTATGACTCCTCTGAGAGAGCAAGAGACAGGTATCAGATGTAGCAAAGCACCAGCTCATAAACCTAGTAGAAACTGAAGGGTTACACAAAACCAGTTACAAGAGCCATACGAAGACTAGTCTAGGAGTAACTCAGGAGATAGAAAGGTAATTGTAACAAGAGGCCCAGAAAATAAAGAAAAGTCTTAGTACAGGGACAGACCAAAACCTTTAAACATTTACCTAAAGTCAGAAATTGTATGAACTATCAAGAGGTGAAGACAAGGCAGGGGCTCCAAACACAATTGGGAGTCCCTAGATCAATAATACAGACCATATATATATATATATATACAGTTTTCCTGACTTATTGTTAAGGTTGTAGGAAAAAAGAACAGAGATTATAGACACAGAAGATACAAAGCAAACCAAGGAAAGGTGCCACCAAAAGCAAGGCATAGAGAAGACACCTTCATGGCCCTTGAGAACTAGTGATTTCAGGGAAAAAAGAAATGAAGATTTTTCTACTGATAATTCAGCCTCCAGTCCACAAACTTAAGTGGAGAGGCAAGGGAGCAGGCCTTCAGAAGACACCTTCATGACTCCTGAGAACTAGTGACTTCAGGGGAAAAATAAATGACAATTTTCTACTGATAATTCAGCCTCCAGCCCACAAACTCGAGTGATAGGAGTTCCCTCAAGCCTCCTCTCTGCCTCTACCTCTATCTCTGTCTTCTCATTTTTTGTAATTTTTCCTTGTTAAATTTTGTTAAGGTAAAGCATTTTCTCAGCTTTCAGCCCCTCCTTTCCCTTTATCTTGTTAATAATCCCCTCTCCTCTTCCCAACTCAGGAAAGGCAAGAGAGCAGGCCTTCAGAAGACACCTTCTTGGCTCCTGATAACTAGTGAAGCGTGCCACATAGTTTTCTTTCTAATTTTTGTTTTTTTCAAAAAATATATCTTTTTTAGTTTTGGGGTTTTTTTTAGTTTTTTCCTTCCCTTTTTTCTCTGTTTCTTAGTTGTTTTTGTTGCTGTTATTTCTCACTCTCTGTTTTCTTTTCTGCATGCTCCTGGATGCTCAAATTGAAATTCAAGTTTGGGAAGAAACACACCACCCATCAGATGACTAGAAATCACCACAGGCCACAAGAAATATGGGAAAGCAGGAAAATACCTCTCCTCCAAGGGAAAAGAATAATTCCCCTTCATCCACAGACAGTTCAATGGACATCACAGAAATGTCTGATAAAGGATCTACAACATTGATGCAGCAGCGCAGTAGCACTGATATGGTGACTGAAGGGGACGTGGAGCTGGAGTTGGAGACGGAGACCAGTGGGCCCAGACCAGCCTCCTGAGAAGCCACGAAAGCATGACAGTGGTGTAGCAGACTTGGAGCGCGTCACTGACAATGCGGAGGAAAAGGAAATTTCAGAGTTCCGATCTGGAGACGGCCATGTCTGTCATCGGAGATAGAAGGTCCTGGGAGCAGAAAGCCAAACAGAAGCGGGAGAAGGAACTGGCAAAAGTAACTATCAAGAAGGAAGATCTGGAACTGATTAAGACAGAGATGGAGATCTCTCGAGCAGCAGCAGAACTGAGCTTACAGGAATACATGGGCAACGTGGTAGAGGCTCTCATTGCTCTAACCAACTGTTGTGCAGTTTCTCACATAACTCACCGGATTAATTTATTGCAATAAAGACTTTTTGGCTTTAAAAAAGAAAAAGAATTTACAACATTGATACTGGTGAAGCTAAGAGAGATGGAAAAGAAGAGAGACAATGAACTGCAAAAGAGAAAGGAGAAAGGAGCTGAC